AATATATTATAAATTAAAATAAAATAACAATAAACTAAAATTCACACTATAAATGCGCACGCAAACAGAAGTCAAACCATGGTTTAATGCGCATTTATAGTGTGAATTTTAGTTTATTGTTATTTTATTTTAATTTATAATATATTAAATGTTTTATTAGTTCACACATATAATATTGACTCTTAATTGCCTTTTTATTTCATTGACAATATATATATATATATATATATATATATACACAACAACAATACAAATCTCCTTTTATCTCCTCATGTGGAGCATAGGAACGTCTACAAGGCCTCTTCCACTTTTGCTCGAGGCCCTATATTCGTTTCTCGAATCAAATTGTTTTCGGATTTGTGGGTGATTAATCCACAGAATCCTACCTCAGTCAGATATTAGAGACATATGTCTAATGTTATATACTGATGTATACAGGATCTACAATTTAACGCCGAATCCGAACGGCGCTGATTGATCATAGAATCATTAAAAACGAAAAATCGTGTTTGGGCGCACGTGGCGAGCGTAGCAGATAACGTACTATGGTCTGTTATGCTAGAAGTCCCAGGTTCAATGATAGGAACTAAAATATTTACGCTCGTGTCTCCCCTCGAAAGTATTCTTGCCCACAGAAATATCTCGCGAAAAATCCGCCTTTCGAAACTGGCATTAAAACTGTAGGTTCCATACGCTTTTGTGGCAATTGAATAACCAGTTTGCGTACCATAAGCATATGAAAGAGGTGCAATACAAGTCAGAGGTCTAACATAAGAAGAAAAAGATGTAATATATAGATCAATGATAGTTTTATAAAACTCTAATGCGAGGTCTACAACAGAAGTCGTAGCGGGGTTATCTTAAGTCCTAGAAGATTAACCAATCACAATCAAATATGAGAAGAATAATCGACTATGAATGGTCAATTTTCTACGACTTCTATTGTAGACCTCGCATAATAGATGTCACATGGATCATTGTCAGCAAGATACAAGAAGACTTTAGAATAGAACCGTGTTGATTGGTTTCGTTTCGACAAAATGCCGGAAAGCACAATCTGATAGTAACAGTTCTTTAAACCCGGTGCGCCTTCCAACAAGCGACACAGTGTACAACACAGTGATTATATCTCATCTCCTTCTTTAACATTGACAAACAACCAAAATGTACTGATACACCTGTTGGAATTGGAACTTAAAAGGCACCCCTGGAAAGCAACCCGAAAGAGCTTATATAATACATAATATTATAATTTGAGGAACTTAAATTGCATACGGCTTCTTATAAGATTTCGTGACATCTTGCGAGATCTTGGATTTGTAATGGATTATCTGTCATGGAGTTAGAATATGGATCTCTAATGAATATTTAATTGTTTTCCATCGTGGAAATAGATGTTGCATGGAGTTATGGAGGTTGTATGGATGTCTAATGGATGATATTGGTAATTTAAAGGACAGCAAATATTGAAAATATTTTTAATTAATATTTAATTCAGGATTAATTTTTTTAGAACTAGATAATTCTTAGAACTAGGGAAAGATAAAAAGTAAGTTAAATTGAGATTAAAGTTATCTACATTGATAGAAGCAGATATAATTCACATTTAATTAAAAATGCGCCGGATCGTAAAATTACCACCTCTGTGAAGTTGGCACCTCATTTTTAAAAAAATGAAATTTTCGACAGAGTTCTGAATGCACCCCGAAGAGTTCTGAAGTTTCTGCCTAAAATAAAAAATAGTTCTGGGGAATTAACACTAAAAATCGAAAATTTAAATTTGGGATGCTAGCTTCACAAATCGCACAACGAAAAATTGCGATATCTTCTAAACCATTAGTCATAGCGCTTTAAAAGCTAATAATTTTTAGTAGAACTCTTAGGGTGCTATCCAGAACTGTCAACAGAACTGCCGTAATGTTAAAAAAAAATTTTTTTTATTTTTAAATACAAAAAATCGCGATAACTTTGAAACCGTTAGTCCTAGCGCGTTAAGTATTAAGAACTTTCGTTAGAACTCGTCGGGTGCTACCCAGAACTGTCGACAGAACTCCCGTAAATCTAAAAAATTTTTTTTTAGATATGTCGTACGAGAAAAATTTTTTAGATTTACGGGAGTTCTGTCGACAGTTCTGGGTAGCACCCGACGAGTTCTAACGAAAGTTCTTAATACTTAACGCGCTAGGACTAACGGTTTCAAAGTTATCGCGATTTTTTGTATTTAAAAATAAAAAAAATTTTTTTTTAACATTACGGCAGTTCTGTTGACAGTTCTGGATAGCACCCTAAGAGTTCTACTAAAAATTATTAGCTTTTAAAGCGCTATGACTAATGGTTTAGAAGATATCGCAATTTTTCGTTGTGCGATTTGTGAAGCTAGCATCCCAAATTTAAATTTTCGATTTTTAGTGTTAATTCCCCAGAACTATTTTTTATTTTAGGCAGGAACTTCAGAACTCTTCGGGGTGCATTCAGAACTCTATACAGAGGTAAAATTACCGCAGATACTGGATATCGGATATTCAAAAACAATTATTATCTGATAGGATTTCGAATATTTTCTCGGATGTCCGGTACAAATTCTCTAAAATTTTAAAAAAAGAAAAGTAAAGGAAGAATAGCAATAATAATTTTTTTTATCTCTTGAACATGAAAAGGAAAAGATGAGAAAACTGTTCAAAAAGTTCTACAAATTTTTAATATAAAATTTTATAGCCGGATGTGGTCGGTAAATATTACTATGCTACCTGGTCGGATATTAAAAAAAACGTCAAATAATACTATAGATTCTAGATATCGAATATTTAATGCATCCCTACATTTAATTTTAACATTGACGGAATCAGAAAAAGTCAGCATGAAATATTTATCGACCGTTTAAAGTCGATTCTCGTATATGTGGAATGAAACGCAATATTACGATTACGAGAATCGACCGGATGAGTCGCGCCATCTGACAGCGCGCTTGCGAGCGACTTCACTCGGTACCAATCACCGCGCCGGAAAGACTCGACTTTAGCCGAATTTCCTCGCTGTGATATTAGCCACAACAAAAAATTTGTGGTGATCGCGCAAAAAGTTTTTGGCGCTACGTATTTTTCGCGTTCTATCTACGGCAAGGTGCTCGTTAGCCACGTCGTCGCCTCGTCCAGGATTCGGCGGCCCGTCGACGGCGCGAAGTAAGGAATCGTGTGCATGCACATCGTGCGAAACTCGTTCTCGCGCGGCATCACGCGTTCGATCCCGCTTGGCCGTGTTTGCGGACCGTGTTGTGTCGGACTCGTGTGCACTTCTTGACGGCAGACGGCTCGACGGACGCATGCACGCGTTGCGATGTTGTGACGAGGACGGATCAACGCGGACCCGATGTCCCGATATATCCATCACAGCCTAATCTGCGCGCTAATTTCGTCGTGAGATGATATGCTCAGCTTCGCATGAGTGATTTGGTCGACTCCGCGTCACTGCGTCTCACTACGGTGTTCAGTCGCTCGCTGTGGCATCTTTTAATTTAACCTACAAAAAGATCTTCGCGTGAGGACTCGTGTTTTTTCCGATTTTCGAATTCTTGTCGGAACTTAATATTCGTCGTGACGCAATTGATACTGGTCCTCTCTCGCTTTACAGCGTCGCTGTACATTTTTTATTTACTCTCGGTTACCCGTGATATCGGATGTGTGATCTTTATTCTTAGCCCTGTATACCCTGTAGAGACTGAAATAGATTAATTCAAAGAAGGAAACAAATATCAAGTTGGATAAATTTTGCTTTAATCAGATTCAATCTCAGTATTCATAGTTTCGTCAAATGTTTCGTTTGAGACAGTCTTAAGTACAGCCTCAAGATATTGTAAGCTAATCAGAGGACTGTATTAGTATTGTAAAACATTACTTAGGAATGGCTTAAAATAAGAATTAATTATAAATACTGTTCAATTTCAATCTTTAGTTTGGAGGCTTATTATTTATATCTTATTCTTAAAACAAGATGAAAACTGAAAATTTTATAAACGTAAATGAATTCACTCGATGTTGACCAATGAACTATGAGTATATAAATATTCTAATAAATTTGCATTCTTGTAATTTTCATCCTGTTTCAAAAACTATAACAGTTCTTTGATATAATATTTAGATCTATTCTCTTTAGCTGAACTATTTGTATCTATGTTTATTTATATTTTTTTTCACCAAACTTAGAAAGAGAAAAAGGAAAGATGCAAAAATCATGCAAGCAGTTTAGCTGAAAAGAAGGCTTTATTTCAGTTTGTTTAAGTCCTACTTTACATAAATGCATTATACGTGAACGTACTTAGTAGGCATTAGGTTTTTATAACTTTTAAGGACTATATTTGTATTGTTATATTGTCATTGCATAGTTTTTTTTACTATATATATGTATATCTACATGATGATAGTATAACGATACTAACACTGTTGTATAAAGTTACAGAATTCTAGGACTGATTTGTTTGTCAAATTGACTGATGTCCTGTTGCAATGTTGTTTGCAGACTGCACAATTACGCAAGAGTTATAGGGCAATTCCAGCGTTCACAATGGCAGGAGAGCAGCAACAGTTTTTTCTCAAATGGAATGACTTCCAATCGAACATGGTGTCTTCATTTAAACACCTGCGAGATGAGAAAAGCTTCACGGATGTGACATTGGCTTGCGATGGTCAGACTTGTAAAGCGCATAAAATGGTCTTGTCTGCTTGTAGTCCTTACTTCAAATCCTTATTAGAGGTATGTTGGTAATATTATTCTACTATTATTTTATATCATTCTCATATTACTATTAGCTAATATCACTATTTGATAGATTTTGTAACTAAATAAATTTTTTCTTTATAGGAAAATCCGTCCAAACACCCAATTATAATTCTAAAGGACGTTGCGTACAGTCATCTACAAGCCATCCTAGAATTCATGTATGCAGGTGAAGTAAATGTCTCGCAAGATCAGCTACCAGCATTTCTCAAAACAGCAGACCGGCTTAAAGTTAAAGGACTAGCTGAAGCTCCCGGTGCCATTAAGAGAGAAGGTTAAAAATACACACGTAAAATACGGTATGCTTTAAAATTTTATTTATTTGGCTTTAGGAGTGATACAAATGTTTATATAAATTTCCTATGTTTTTATTGCAAAATTTCTTTTATGATTATGTATGTATTTGTTAATTTAATTTCTTAGTAAGATATTTAGATATTCGATAAAAAAACGAAACCTCTTATTTAATATCTAGATGGTGTAATATTTTTTAAAGTAATATTATTGATTTCGGAGATATGTCGCACAAGAGTTCATTGTTCGGTTATTGATTGTGCAAATCTATTTATATTCTTGAGGTGAATAATATATACGAATTTGATTGCGCGCGCTTAAATTCGTGTATATATTATCATACGAGCTGTACGTTAATAATGAGCTAAAATTCTATAAATACAATATCACAATATCGTTTTTTATGCATGATGAGGATTGTTTGTTACTATACTTGAAAATGCAAATGGGACAAAAATGTGAATTTTGATTTGCAGGTATTTGAAAAGTGTATGGACTGAAAAAACAGTGTAATAATGTAAAGTGATTGAGTAAAACACGTACTACACAACATAAACACACAACACAACATACGTTATAAATATATAGAGACATATGTAAAAAAAAGTTTAAACACTGCGTGTGCACAACTCGGTGTCCTACGGTTCATGACTTAGATCAACACGCGGTGATGATGTAAAATAATGCCTTTTTCTTATTCTCAGTTAATGTTAACTGGTTGTATTGATAGTATGTACACATACATGCAAGTAGAGAAAAAATGTTGATGTTTGTCTTGAACCCGTTACGCCATATTGGCAATAATAACAACACATTGATTATTTTTTTAAAATGAATCATTGCGAATTAATCGCGATAGTTTACAATACATACTGACCGGGGCAATCTTGGTGGATCAAGTAGAAAATGTTAAGAACACCTGTTACAATGCCTGTTTTTTCAAGCCGATCTACCTGACTCGTAACACTCCCTTATTGATTCTATTTGGTAGATCTATTCACGAAGTAGCGTTATCTTATATTATCCTAATTATTTCTGTCGTTTGTTTTTGTCGCGCGTTAGCTGTTATACTTAATTTATCTGCGACATGTTGAAAATTATAAAAATAAGTCCAATTTTTTAAGTAGAAATCTCTCTACTATGTTTTTATTATTCATTTTTGCAAATTATCATGGGGATGGTTATGGAGATCGATCTCACAGGGCATTAACAATCTTATATCGTACTAAATTGTGTATGAATACTAATTAAATAATGACAAATGAAAGTATTTATTGGCATCCAATAGGGAAATTTTGCTTCTATCGTGGATAGATTTGCGAAACCCCCGGCAAATCATTTAAAGAATGTCAAATCAGGTTTACTGGAAGTAGTAACGTGCGCGTTTAAATCATTCTTATTTGTCAGTTTTAAGATACTGTTCTTTTGCATTTGTGTGAAATGTGCAAAAAAAAAGGAGAAAATAACTACAAAATATGAAAGGAATTGTAATACCATAATTAATCTCCGTACAAGTTACCTCTTCTAGTGATCATGATTCTTAACCAAATACTGCCAGTGTTTGTACCGGCGTATTCACAATATTACCGATATAGACCAAATTTATTTATGATAATAATATATTAAGGATTGAATGTCTTAAATTGAGGGAAGGTTATTGTAATATAAGCGAAGTAAATTTTTGTAAAGTCGGAGCGCACAGTTCCTTTTCCCTTTTGAACAACTAGGACGCTCGGAAAAGTCTAGAAAGGCAGTCAGGAAACATTATCGAGTTAAGGATGTAAACATTTATTTGTTATAGAAGATGTCATGTTTCTTTTTGTTTGTAACAAAACGTTTGTATTTTAACATTATTTGGATTTTACTGTTTCATTGTTTTTAAACTTATGACAATGCAGTACAAATTTTCGTCATTTACGTTTACCGCTAGTAAATCTACGCTCATATTTCCTGACTTTGCTGTCTCTCTTAATTATACATTGAGAAAAAAATTCTCCAGCGTTTCGTGAGTTTTCCTTGCGAGTTAATTGTCCTTGTGCCTAATATGAATTTACTCCAACCATCACGTGAATTATATACCGAATTAGCACGAGTGAAGTTTTATGGACACTGAATGCCGATTTATAATCGTACACATTCACGTATCGAAATGTCAGTCATACACGTCATACACCGCAGAATGTTACGAATCATAACGCATCATTTCCTGTCGATTTTGCTTCGGATATTTCTGTGAATTACACAAGAGACCGCTCTAATCGAATTTACGATTGTAAGAATGGTCCATCCAAAAAGAACTCGTCGTTCGTAAGAATGCTTTGAACTATTCCACGCGATAAAGTCGAATGGAACTTGACTTTGTATCAAAGTAATATGGCTTCCATATAAATTTCGGCGATGTCTGACGATAACAAGTTCTGATAATTAACGGGACCATTCTCGTGCAAGCGGCATTGAAGTGGCGATGTAAGAATAGTTATTTGTCATCTTCTCGGAATGAGGATTCAATTATTTGAGCTCTTTCAAGTATCAGAAGACTTCATCACGTTTCGTAATTATCCGATAGCAATTTCGTATAATAGATATTCAATATTCTTTCAGTCTCATAAAGGAACACAACCAATTTTCAATCAGGTCAGTTCTAATTTTAACGAACTTCATATATATATATATATATATATATATAC